AGCCTTTGGAGCATCACTGCCTTCCATTTATTTCCCCTGAGCTACCCAAAGCCTGACCGCTACTCTAGATGTCCAGACCCTTGCCTGTGTTAAGAGCAGTCTTATGCATTGGTCAGTGAGGAACAGAGGGTAATTATGTGCCACCCCAGTCCTGCACCCAGGGCAGGCATCGTTAATCAATCAATTCTGGCATGCTTCCCTGAGTTCAGACTCAGCATCAGAATCTTTCTCAACTGCACTTCAGGCAATCCCTACCAATCGATCAAGTCCAGTCATAGATTTGACATAATCTGACTTGCCCCAGGATAAGAGGATTTCTGATATAAACTGCCCAGTTGAGATAGGTCACAAGTATAGTCTTAGGGCTTTTTTCTCTTTCAAGATTTATGATTTTAGGATCTTCTTTCTGGGGGCTCCCAGTCATCGAGCTATTTCCCCCACCTACCTGAGTGTTACTGTTCTTTTAGATAATCCTAGGCGATAATAGTTTCCTTTTATAAAAGGCTATTTTGTGCCAGGGCTTAAGATGTGTAGTATTTTGCTGTCATGGCAACCCTGCAGCTAGTTATCATTATGCCTAGTTTACAAATAAGGCTCCAGGTGTTTAAGTGAATTTGACTACGATAATAAGTGCTGGTAAGGGTGGATGTTCAAACCCACAGCTATCCAGCTCCAAAGTCCAGCGTGTTTCTACCCTTTTACGCAATTTCCTTACTTCTCCCTTCAAGTTCTGAGTTAGGGGAAAACGTTACTCCTTCACATCTTGAGGAATAAGATCCTTTCCTTCCTACTCAGATTCCAGGGACTCAAAGGAATCATGCTTAGGTCTGAAGGATGCTTAGCCAAAAGACCCTTAATCTAGAGAAGCCCCAATGTTTGTAGCTACCACTTGCTCCGAACGGTACAAGCGCCTATTACTGGAGGCTTGACTTGGGAGCCCCAGGCAAGGAACTCCTCCTCTGACACGTTGCTGGTCGAGAAGTCCACAGAGGCCGCCCCTCCACTGCTTTCCGGCCCTACATTGATGAGGATGGTCTGACTGGGAGTTGGCTCACATTTACCGAGCACCTACGATGCATCAGGCTCTGTGCTAGGCGCTCTGAGCGCAGGTCCTTTGATCCAGTTGATGGTCTTTGAACCACACCATGTCACAGTGCTCCAAATAAACCCACTCCTCTAGATGACCACACAGAGTAGGTGTCCACAGATGAGAACAAAGAAGGCACAAGGCAGGAGACTTGGCTTCTAGCCACACACTTGGAGGGAATGAAAGTCATAAGGCAAAAAGAAGACATCTCTCGGCAACTGTCCTCAGTTACCTGGGATTCTGAACAGAATCCCAGCTACGGATGTGAGAATGAATCAAGAACAGACATGAGAAAAGTAGAAACTAACGAAGAGCAGAAATCAGCACTCCTTCATGCTGTCGGTGATGCCTCACACCAAAGTCTCCATCAGCCAAGTGCAGACTTGGTGACGTTCTGAGGGAAATTAGCAGGGCCCAAAGCAGTCAATTCACACACTAGGAAACCAAAGGCGTTTTCTTCTTTTCTGTCAAGAGGAAGAAAAATAGATCGGAACAAATAACCTCATTCAAGTGAAATCTGATGAAAAGCTGGTTGCAGGGCCTTGGCAATGCCTGGTATGTACAGTGACCATCCATCCCCACTTGCCCAGGACAGTCCGTGTTATGTTGGTTGTCTCAGTGTAATTACAAAACACACTCCTCTTTCCCCTAAAAAGTGTCCTGATTTTGACAATAACCTGACTGTACAGTCAATTTGCTTTCATAGCAGGTTTCAACTTAACTGCCCCTTTGGCCTGCGCACAATATATTGGGTTGAATATTTCCAGTGTTCAAGGAAAATTTAGTCTGCACAGAAATCCATGTTGTCAGAAAGAAGCCTGTGCTGCTGATGAAATTTCCATTCTTCCCCCTCAATCTGCTGTGTGCACACACACGCAGCATCTGCTGTCAGTCAAATCTTGGATCAGTCTTGCAAGCTTTTATGAATCTCAATTCCACGACTAAATGTCTATTAGAGTCACAGGCAGAAGGTGCAGATATGGAAGCTTCGAGTGGATTTAGGGCTGATGCAGCAAATATCTGTACTGGGCAGAAGACTGGGAAGTAGGGCTCGGGGCCTCCCAAAGTATGCAATAGTTATAAGAAATCAGGCCGCGTGTGTGTCAAAAGCGGAAAGGCGGGTCTCTCTTGTGCCCCTTTCCATCTTGTCTACCTCCTAACCCGACCCCAGACTCATCGCAGGAGCCCTTTTCTGTTCATTCCGAACAGGATATTCAGTTTCCTCCTGCAGCCGAGATAAGTTTTAAAGCGGGACAGTAACAGTGCCTACTTCCCCGGGATCGTGCAAAGATTTTAAAATAAAGTAATACATGTAAAGCCTGGCACATATTGTTCAACAAAGATCAGATACTATTGTTATTATTACTCTTGTAACATGGTGTATCATCTTCCTTCTTTGATTATTTGTTCCTTTCAGCAGGCGGGAGTCAGGGCTCTGTGGTCAGGGTGGCATCTCATTTTGGATACACACCTTGTCTTAGTTCCTATCACGTGCAGCTTTGAAGGTCAATCAGCGGGCCGTGGAACGCCCCATTTTCCTGTGAGTGTGAAAACCACCTCCCTCCCTCACACTGACGAGAAAAAGAAGCAAACTTTAAAAGAGTGGGACAAGAGCATCACCTAGTGGCAAAAGCATAGTTCATTCATTTGAAAGAAGAAACGTAGTGTTGACTACTATATATAAAAGATAACTAATGAGAACGTACTGCATAGCACAGGAGCACTATTCGGTGCTCTGTGATGACCTACATGGGAATGGAGTCTAGAAGAGAGTGCATATATGTATATATATGGTCGATTCACTTTGCTGTACGGCGGAAACTAACAACATTGTAAATCAATGATACTCTAATTTAAAAAATAAAAAAAAATTAAAAAGGTAGTGTTGAAAGACCCGTGGAATGTCTGCTGCTCCCTAGGGGTTAATGTTCACAGCACAGAGGTGCTTTGGGATCAGGAATTGAAGAGAAAGAGCCCCTGTCGTAGAAGAACCCAGAGTTTTATTGAGGGACACTGACATGTACAAAAATTAGAATAGTGTGATACCTGCTGGGATGGCGGAAACGTGGGGTGTTTTGAAAACGCAGAAAAGGAACACTTGCTGGTGGAATCAAGGAATGTGTCACAGAGGCGCTGAGCCTAAGATTAAGTGGGAGCTAATTAGCTCCGGTCTTGGCTCACCCATCCCAGCGAGGTTGAGCATGGCACACGGCATCCACCGGCTTACACCCAGCGAGGCTGAGCATGGCACACGGCATCCACCGGCTTACACCCAGCGAGGCTGAGCATGGCACACGGCAACCACCGGCTTACACTTTCCTGTGACATGCCCACATTTCTCATTTCTCAGATTGCTGCAAAAAGCCAAACTAAATGGAACTTTTTTTTCCCTAAACACACACCGGATGGGAGGTTTTCATCTTTTTTGGCTGCACCACACATCACATAGGATCTTAGTTCCCTGACCAGGGTTTAAACCTGCACCCCCTGCATTGGAAGCGTGAAGTCTTAACCACTGGACCACCAGGGAAGTCCAGTTTTCATCTTTAACATAACATATATTAGCTTTTTAAAGGGCCTGCCCCACATTGAATTGTGGGAACTTACAAAGCATCTTTTTTTCCCCAGCTGCGTCGGGTCTTCGTTGCTGCACGCAGGCTTTCTCTAGTTGCAGTGAGCGGGGGTTACTCTTCGTTGCAGTGTGTGTGCTTCTCACCATGGTGGCTTCTCATTGCAGAGCACGGGCTCTAGGCGCACGGGCTGCAGTAGTTGTGGCTAACAGGCTCTAGGCACGCCGACTTCAGTAGCTGTGGCGCACGGGCTTAGCTGCTCTGGGGCATGTGGGATCTTCCCGGAACAGGGATTGAACCCGTGTCCCCTGCATTGGCAGGTGGATTCTTAACCACTGCACCACCAGCTGAGTCCCCGAAGCATCTTTTAATGTCACTATGAACTTGAAAGCAATCCTGGCTGCAGCTGTTGACTTCTGAAAGTACACAGGTACTCGACTCTAGCTCTATTTGAATCACCAAAACCGAACCTGAATCTGGTAGAGCTGTGCCAAATGCAAACTCTGAAATTACTTACAGCATTGTTGCTGGGGCAGTAACGTACAGTTCACTTGGCGGCTGGCCCTCTCCCAACTTTAGTTCTGGAAAGAGTTAGGCCTGGGTTTATATGATCCACTCCTGCTCTTTTACGAACAAAGACCATTGGCTGAGCTTGTTGAAGAGTTCTGGCCCTGAGGGAGTCACCCTTTCTCACCTAATGTCACATATCTGTAGGGGGTCTGGGTTAGGGTCAGAGTACAGATACTATAGTCTGTGGCTGTGTATGAAGACCAAGACGAAAGAGGCACTCATTCATTCATAAGCCTTCACTGGCTACCTTAGGATTGTTTATCATTCTGACATTTTAAAAAGACTGTCCAAATACATTTTCTTGAAAGAAACATTTATTTATGATCTTTACTGGTCAAAGTTTCAAACAAATCCAGAACAGGTGTTCACATTTTGAGCCTTTAGTGAGAGACACTACGTCACGCGTGAAATAAATGCTGATCCCGTGGGGTGCTCCCCTGACGCATTTAAATACTGGGCTGATCAGTCAGAAGACGACCTATGTGACAGAATCTGCTCAGAAATCTGCTTGAAAAAGGGCATGATTTAAATCCCATGTGGTTTTTCACAACATAAATGTACTGTAACTTATAATAATTTCAAAACAAACTCCCCAAGAATCAACTCTCTTTACATAAAAAAAATAATCAATTTATACTCTTCTTGAAAGAACTCCAACAATGTAAAATAAGTTCCAATTCCATATACATATAATATATGTACATTTATAACTTAGGTGCTCTGTTTCTCTATATACTTTTATCCATGCATCGCGGCAGGGGTGGATGTGAGGGCTACAGGGGCCTCTCGGAGAAGGCAGTGTAGCTTCTCACCCTGGCAAACAGCAGGGGCGTGTACATCTTGTCGATCTCGAAAGCTGTGACCGCAGTCTCTCCAGTTGATCTGGAAAGAAAGCACAGAATCACTCGTTACCAGGAGATATCAACTCATTTGAAATCCTTGCCTATTTTGGGGTGGTGGTGTGGGGGAGGAGTTTATTTTAGGCTTCAGCCTTTTTAAAATTTAATTCATGTCAGTCAATTCCAAATAATATAGTGTATTATAGAAAATTTGAAAAATTTAGAAAAATGTAAAGAAAAATCACTCATCATCCCATCACCCAGATACGGCCTCATGAAGCATTTCTTCCAGGCACTTCAAGCTTGCTATCAAACTTTACTGCTGAGATCATACTCTACTTGTCATCTTGCTTTTTTAAACATTATGACATAAGCATTTCCTCACGTCATTAAATACTCTTCAGAAGCCATTTTTGTGGCTGCATAGTATTTCACTGTCTGCTTATACCCCATTTACTGAATTCTCCTTTTGCTGGAGATGTAGGCTGTCTCAATATTTGGCAATTAAAAAGGATGTTGTGATATTTTTGAATATGAACAAAACAGATCCCTAAGAGTAGAATTTCTAAGTCAAAGGCTATAGACTTTGTAAAGCTCTTGTTAAAATGTATTTTAGAAAGAATTATAATCCTAGAAGGGAATTTAATGAGTTCATATTTGCATGATCAACAGCACAATTTCAGGTTGGAGGGGAAGCAGGTGACGAGTTACATTACCACAGCTTTTAATTTTCTCCTAAAAACAAAAAGGAGAAATAAACAAAAACATAAAATTCAAGTGACTTTACAGATACTATTATAAGGACGTCAATGTGATCATTAGCAGTTACAAATGACGTCACTTTTTTCTCTTAAGATGTGATGCTTTTCATTTGCTTGGTCCTACTTCTGGGTTTCGTTTCTTTCTTTGAAAAGAAAAAAAAAAAAAGATTCCACTTCACAAATTACTCAGAGAAGCAAAAAGAAGATAGTAGGACCAGGAGGTAAGGATGAGAAGAGAGAAAAATGCTCTTTCTCAGCTGTCAGGACCTCCCAGATGAGTGGGAAAAGTTATTCGTAAGATGGAAACATGACAGAGGAAGTTTTCAACAATGCGGTCAAGGTTGTGAAGGAGGCTAATGGAAGCTGACCTCACAACCTGCCTCTCAGAATTCTGATTTCAACTGGCATGCAGACCCTCGGGCACACACCGGTGTTCTTTCAAACCTAACAACAGCTAAGATCTGTATCCACACGAACTGACATTTCACTTTCCTAATTCCTTTTTTTTACTTTACTCATTTCTGCACTGTTCCTTTCTCACACTTTCTCATCTGTTCATTAATTATTTCATACAAGTAAATCCTAACTCATAGGACAAAGAACTTTAAATAGGAACCACTAATAGATTTGGCTTTGGAACACACGAGATCTTTTCAGCAGACTTACTTTCCTAACTACAACTTATTTTAAATCTGGGTATAATCCCTGGGGATAAACCAAATGGAAATAAGGTGAAAAATGATTAAGACTGAAACATAGGAGAAGAAAAAAGGTCTTGGTGCTTTACAACTGCCTTGAGTAAGCCAACGAATAAAGTCACGCACGGACAGCTTAGTGACCAGGCACCATCCACGCACGGAAGCTGCTCTCAACCCCACAGGGTAGGTGCCCACTCGCATCACCATGGGCAGTGGGCAGGAGTTCTGAATGCTCCACTTCCTGGTCCACTTTTAGGTTTTTTCCAGTTGGCTGTTTCCTTGGTTTGCAGGATTATTATGCTGTGGTTTTGCTTTGTGATCGAACGTTCACTCTGAGGAATCAAACCCTATCTGAGTCCCTCAACTGAACAGGAAGGACAGACATATCTAGTCTGCAACCTTGGGATTTTTATTGCATTCACCTACTTGTAAGTAATATGACAAGAATGATGTATCCAGATGAGTTTGTTGAACCTCTGGTGGCCACTGGAACACAGCTGAAGCCCCACGTGAAAATTCTGATCGGCTTCTTGTACAGGGACACGGCGAAAATATCTGTATTTATAGTCAAGTGGTTTCTGTAAAAGAGGTGCATGAGCAACAGTGAGGCCTCACTTCACTGACAGAGACAGAGAGATGGATGGTGCTATACCTATACATGAATACCTCAGAAACATGTTAAGTTACATACTATCTGCACACAGTAAACAGCTACTTTGGTTATCGACTGAGAATGTGTACGAGTGCCTGGAAATACGCGAAGGACTCTAAACGCAGAAGGCTCTTCCCTCCATCATCACCATCTCAGTCAGTCGTCACAACATCCCCAGGTATGACGTGCGACCGCATCGCTGCCGTGTGATGGCCGACAGGATGAGGACCCAGGGCGGGCAGCCCAGGGCCAGTGTCAGAGATGCGAACTAAAGCTCCTGTCTCCCATCTCTAAGCCTAGTATTTCCTTCTACTCAAAAACACTTGGGAATTTTTAAAGAGGGCAAGTGATAAACTGGTGAAGGCTGCAGAAAAAGCACTGAGTATAACTGATCCTTTGCAATAACAGTAAAATAGTCAACAGAGAAATAGATGTGACAAGGTTCACTAGAATCACACTTCTGTAAATACTGCTAAAAACACAAGAATGTCACCACTATGCACGGCTTCACTGAGTCATATTCTGCAGAGAAAACTGGTCATCAGCATGGGAGTCCCTAAACTCTCTTATTAGATAAAATCTAAACAACTAAGGCCTCACGACTCCCCACCTCTGACCTCAGGAAACTCACGGCCAAGGTCACAGTGATAGCAAGCAACTCAGCCCCTCAGACTGTTGCCCTCGCTTCCAGGAGCCAGAGGGAGCCAGAGAAGCCAGAGCCGAGGGCCACAGGACTCACAGATGAAACCCGCCCTAACTATTCCCATACATGGTGCTGTGGGTGGGAGGGAGGGGGGTGTTTAACACAACAGAAACTTCATTCAAAGCACCAGGCAAGTATTTATTCTAACTACCTCACAACTGACTTCTTGAGTACACATTTACTGGTTTTCAACCAGGACTGAAAAAAGGCACACGCAGAAAAGCTGTGGAAAAAATTAGCCCCTTAATCTGTTAAGAGAATCTAAAATACTCTGGAATGTAACAATTCAGCCATCGTATTTGCTCGGCATTTTTTTTCCCCTTTTGTAACGACAGGAAGAAGGAAATTATCTCACTTCAGCTTATTCCCAGTATAAACTGAAATTCTAAAAATATCCTTGTGAAAGAATTATCTCTATGAGTCCGTTTAGGAAGAAAATCTCCTAGGATTCAAAATGAGAAAAGCAAAAACATAGTCATACATATATAACTGTACTAGTTATTTCACAGGAATAACTAATAGTTACTTTGGCTTTACGTCTTCATGCGGAAGAAACCTAGACCAGAAGAAGAAACTTGGAGAGAACCAATAAGTTGATCCAATAAAAAATAACTGTGTTTTAGAAACCCTCCGGCTCTCCTCAGAGATACGCTGTAAGTCAACACCCATTTTGTATAAATTACGAAAAGGTATTTTTTAACCTTTCTAATCAAGAATGCTTGAATGAGCAGGGTAAGAAAATTAAAAGGAAAACTGCCAATTCCACCTTGCATACTCACTTCTTCTTTCTTCTTAGTTATCACAGCAAATACTTTCGTCTGATTGTCTATATCTTGTGACAAGCGATAATGACCCAGTAGAATTGCATCAGTTCTAAAAATTAAAAAAAAACCCAACACTTTAAATCTATTAATCAGTAATGTGTATTTATTTAAGTAATCGAGAAGGTAATGGGTTAGTTAGAAGTGTTTATTCAACTTGCCTGAGGGCAATCAGCTAGGATGTGAGTAAGCCTAGTCTCCAAGGCCCCAGACCTACCAAGGGACATCTCTGCGGAGAGGCCCAGGGATCAGTTGTGTTTTTTCTTTTCTTTTGGCCGTGCTGCACACAGCTTGTGGGGTCCTAGTTCCCCAACCAGGGATTGAACCTGGGCCCTCAGCAGTGAAACTGCCAAATCCTAACCAATGGACTGCCAGGGAATTCCCGGGATTGGTACTTTTCACAAGTGCCCCAGATGACTGCTTCTTGAATCCAGTATTAAGTTACATAATCTGCAAGTTACCACCTAAAATTTGGACTGGATAGAAAACTACAGAAAGACACTACCTGGTATTCCTGGTTCTTAAACGCGGAACAATGGACTGGGGCTCCTCAGGTGTGGTCAGCATCATCACGTGGCCATCTGGGAAGAACCTTATGTACCTGTGGAACAAGGAAAACACCAAAACACCACATGCAAATGGAAAACACATCCTTATTTACTGGTACCGAAACCTATTTATTCATAGCTATGAAATCAAAATGGAAATACCGTGGGCCAAAGAAGTGGCAAAACATCATTGACACAAACATGACCTGTGAGGCCAGCAGAAGAGAACCAAAGCATTTGTGTGTTTTTCCCCAAAGCACTAACTAATGTCAAACGAAAGTGAGGCCCAATGCTATTACAGAGCAGTTACCATAGCTTACTCGTTTCTCAGTGACACTAGTATCTGGTGAACAATAAGCCTGAGTAACAGCACAAGCTATCTGACAAGGCAGAAGACACGGAGGAGCTCTAAAATGACTTTATAGTAATTCTTAGGTTTACAGCCCAGGAGGAATTAACTGATTTATCTTAACCTACTGGTTCTTTGAGTGCAGTTCCTGTTATAACACTGGATGAAAATACTGAGGGCCATTTTGTGGATAAATGCAAAAGCCAGAAAGAACAGATGTCCAATAACGAACGAACCAATACTTGGAGAGAGAGAATTTTTCACTCACTCAGTTTACTACAGTTGTACCTGTAATATTCCACTTGGTGCCAGGCTCTATAGAAACCATCAAGAGACTGTTCCCCTTGACGAATATACGTGGTTTTACTGATATACACTCCTATAAAAAGAAACAGGTTTTTTAAAAAGAACATAATAAAAAACTTTTACAACCATGTAACATGTTTCCAGTTTTGTTTTTATGGTGGTTTCCTCTAAATATACTTATAGTACTCAGCTCTGTTACAGAAAATTAAGACCGTGTATTTCTCAAAATCAGCACAACAGGTCACCACTGCTCTAAAGAGATCAACTTACCATCAAACCGAACACGCGGCCTTTCTAAAAACATCTCTCTCCAGGATGTATATGCAACAAGTTTAATACAGCTTCTGCCCCAAACTTTCAAGCAGGCCAAACGCCATATTTCAGGGTCTCTAGGTAATAAAAGCACAACATCAATACATATAACAGGTGAGTCCCTATCCGCAC